ATCATTCTTTCATATAAAAACATTTGATTTGGAAAAATTAGATGTTATGAAGTAAATTTTTTTAGCGTGTATTGTTATGCGGACATAGATGGAAACATAGATAAGCTTAAATGTTCTCAAAACAACTTGTTGCGTAAAGATAATATAAAGAATATTTGCTAACACTAAAATACCACCAAATCTACGAATAAACAAATTCTATTGGTTCAAAAAATACGCTGAATAAGCGAATTAGAGTTCCAGAATAATCTGAAGAAACTTTCTTAAAAATGTATTGCTTGAGTTGTAAAAGTAATAAATAAATCTTTTAGATTTCTATTGTAAATTGTTTTAAGAATATATTATCAAACAAAACTGATTAAATTAACATTTAAATTAATAAAAGAAATATATTATAATCTTTGATAAATTAAAATTTGTCAAACAATAATCGTCTTAATTATGATGTTGCTTTCTATAAAATTTCGTAACATTTTTAAGTTGGTTTTTATTATTCAAAAATAGATATTTGATATTCGAACACAATCCGGTTAACCGAAAAACCGGATAACCGGCGAAATCACTATATATATATATATATATATATATATATATATATATATATATATATATATATATATATATATATATATATATATATATATATATATATATATATATATATATATATATATATATATGTATATATATATATGTATATATATATGTATATATATATATATATATATATATATATATATATATATATATATATATATATATATATATATATATATATATATAGTAGCGTGCAAAAGTAACTGAACATAACTTAATATTACTTTTGAATGAAAAGTTCAATTTCTTTTAAATTTTCACTGGAATGTCAAATAATTGATTACAATTCTAAAATCAAATGAATTTTTACTAAATCTAAGCAGTCTAATCTTAAAAGCTCATTTTATTGAAATATGTGCATGCCAAAGTACGCACGCAGAACTAAAATAATAAAATTCTAATACTTTAGTTGGCTTTTATTTAATGTTTAAAAATGGTAAATAAAATATAAAGTATTTTTAATTAAAAAGAAGATTCTTTTGTATAAATTTTTTAAATTACTAAGCAAAAATATACAAGTTTAGCTGTCCGAGAAGTGGTATTGCGTGCAATTGAACGAGGCAGAACTACAAGAAACATAGTTGATCAATTTGATATAGGAAAATCAACAGTAAAGATATATTAAAAGATGTAAGGAAAGTAATAACAATAAAATGTCTCTTAAGTTAGGAAGGCCTCGAATTACATTTGAAAGACAAAATAATTTTAATTCCTTCCGCAAAAAATGATCCATGCAAAAATGCTGTCTTGTTAAATGTTGCAATGAAACAGTTTTATAATGTAAAATCTAGTGTAGACACAACTAAGCATTGTTTGAGGTCTGCAAATCTAGTTGGACATCCCACAAAAAAACTTTTTATTTTTATAAAGAATTAAAAAGCATGTTAAAGATTTGCTTATGAATTGGTCAAGAGAACAATGGTCAAAAGTAATTTTAAGTGATGAATCTAAGTTTATGTTATTTGGATCTGATGGTATTAGGTATGCTCGTCAACCAAAAGGCCATAGAAACGATTCTAAATACCAGCTAACAACAGTAAAGTGCGGAGACGGAGATAGTATGATCTGGTTTTGCTTCAATAGAGATTGTATCGATCCTATCCATTTCATTGATGGTATAATGGATAAAAACATGCACAAAGATATCATTGAGGATGTTATATTACCACGTGCTAAAGACAAAATGCTTTGAGGACAGATATTTTAGCGGAATAATGACCCAAAGCACACTTCAACCCTTGTGAAAGGCTTTTTCAAGACCAAAAAATTTGATTAATAAAATAGCTTTCACAAAGTCCTGACTTTAATTCTATTGAACATCTATGAAAACACCTTGATCGTCAAATTTCAGGTTGAAAATTAACAAGTAAACATGATTTATTAAAAATTCTGAAACAAGAATGGGAAAAAATTGACAATAATGTGAATATGAAGCTGGTGGGATCAATGGCTTGTTGCTGTCAAACAGTAATCAATGCCAAGGGTTTCCCAACAAAGTACTTAAGAAAATTTACTTTAAATTACAACATTTTTAATTTTAAAAATCTTTAAAAAAAAAATCTACTTCAAGTATTTTTTTCTGCCCAGATGCACATGCATATTTCAATAAAACAAACTTTTAAGATTATGTTGTTTAGATATAGTAAAAATTCATTTGTTTTTAGAATTATAATCAATTTTTGACATTTTAGTGAAAATTTGAAAGAAATTGGACTTTTCATTCAAAACTAATCTTAACTTATGCGTTTGTCTGGTTACTTTTACACGCTACTATATGTATATTTGCGTGTGATCACACAAATATTGTTTTTTTAGCGAAAAAAATCCTTTTTTGGCAATTTTTCCACCAAATTTCTCCACAACAGGGGGGGGGGGTTGCACACTGTAACTGACCACGCTTATAATTTTTTATTTACAATTTGACCACGACTGTTTTGATGTTTTAACAATTTAAATGCAATTTAAAAAATTGTTACTTTATGAATAACTTTTAATAGTTGATCTTTTCTAAAGTTTTTATTTTATGTGAAAGCTTCGAATTAAATTTAAGTTTGAATTAAATAAAAAATTGATTTTAATGGTTTAAAATAAACATATTTTGTGTAAACAAAAAAATATTTTATTTAAAAAAATTTTATGCAAGTATTTTTTATGATACATTTAAACATTTAAATCTATTTTTCCATGTCTTTCTAAAAATCTTTTAAAAGAGTATTTTTTTTTTTTTAAGTTAATTTAAATTATGAATAACTTCAATTAAATCTTCCCTTTGCAATGGTTTAATTGCTTATTGCTTTTTTTTTTTTTTTTTTTTTAAGAAAGAATTGTTTGAAACCTTTTTTTTTAGCTTACTAATCAGACAAATGATAAAAAATTGCTATTTAAAAAGACTTATTTTTTAGACATATTATTTTTTTTTTTTTTTTTGTTAACTAAATAATAACTAAAAGTAATTTGTAAAAGTGTTGCACGTAACTTTAATAAAATATTTCAAAAGATAAATTTTAAAGTAATTTATTTCAAATGCATTTTAAAAACATAACAAAAAGTAATTTTTGCTTCGAGTTTGACTTTTAATTTAGTCCTTATATACTTTCTTTTTTGTAAAGTATTGTTTTCTTTTTTCTTTAGTTTTTTAATTTCCTACCTATTTTAAGTTTAACTTAGCATTTCTTTTTTCAGCGAATTTCTAAATCATTTCTAAAACATCTACACAGTCGTGGTCAAGTTATAAAAAAAAATCATTTGCATGGTCAGCAATAGTGCTTGATCATGCGCCATTGCTGCCCAAGCCTGATTTTTAGCTATCAAATTTGATACCAAAAAAAACAACATATTTTATAACAATTTTACAACAATTGAAAGTTTAGATATGCAATATGTTTACGATTTTTATTAATCCATATAATTAAGAAACTAATTTGCTAAATACACTAGAATTATGAGAAACTTTGTTACTTTTTTTTTCCTACATTTATTTGTTTTTACATCTTTTTGCTTTATTTAACGTTCAGTAAATTAACTTTTGGAGCATCATCAAGAACAATAGTTCATCAGGAAAAAAACTTTCAGGTTTTAAATGCACAGTTCGGAAAATCAAATGAAAATGCAGACCATTTCAATAGGGGTAATAGAAACAACCAAATATTTTGTATTTGAATATTAGTATTTATGACTTTTTATTTTTATTTTTTACGTGAAAAACTTGTTAAAAATAAATTTAAAAAATTTCAAATCAAAAGCAATTAGTTTTCTCATTTTTATGTGCATTAAAACAGTAAAGTTTAGCAAAAACATTTGAAAAACAAATTTTAAATTTGTCCTTATTTCTAGCGCAAATAATATTTGCCCTAATATATTAAAGTATTTCCTTAATATACTGACTGACAAAAATGGTAGATAAATTTTATATCAAAAAAATGTTTTTCTTTTCGTTATATTCTTATACGCTTTTTTCCTTGACTCTATCAGTTTTGGTAGTGGAAAAAAAGAAACACTAAAAAATAGAAAACACATACAGTCTAAAAAAATTACTTTAAAAGTGGGCAAAGAAAGCGTGCAACCGCACGTGCATTCTGGGAAGGCTTGGTGTATATATATATATATATATATATATATATATATATATATATATATATATATATATATATATATATATATATATATATATATATATATATAAAATTGAAAATACATCATGTACGATGACATACTATTTATTTAACTATTAAAATTTTTTAATTTTATAATTTTAAATGTAATATTTCGGCTCATATAGTTGGAGCCATTTTCAAACTAAAATACGTTATAAAAAATTCGTTATTTACAAAAATGATGTCATTGCTGCATAATATTATAAAAGTTTTTCTTAAATTTAACAAAAAATAGTTTCCAATGGTGAGTCGTCACTAGGTTGCCATTATCTCTGTTTAGAATTTTATTTTTTAGATAGCAACATTGTAATCTGTCTATTTCAATTGCCTCCCTGATTTCTCTCGTATAATTATTTGGGATGACTGAAAGTGTTTTTGGATTATTCCAATTAATTATACCTTTGCAATGTTGTGCATGTTCAACAATTCCAGACGCTTTCCAGTTCGCTTTAGTCAAGTTTTTTTGATGTTCAGCTATTTGTGTTTTTATCTTTTTTCTGGTTTCACCCACATAAAAAGCGCCACATGTACATTCAAGTTGGTAAACACCCGTATATATATATATATATATATATATATATATATATATATATATATATATATATATATATATATATATATATATATATATATATATATATATATATATATGAGAAAAATATAGTAAAAATTCAGTTAACAATAATGTTCATGATAATAATTTATTATTGAAAATTTTAAACATATTATTTAAGCTTCTTTTTTTTTTAGGCATTTGGTAATAAAAATGAGAAATTTAAATAATATCGATGAAACTTTGCCATTTATTGGTGAATTAGGTCTTTATCAAATAATTGTTATTGCAATTTTCTGCTTAATAACGATACCTGGCACCTTTCAATCTCTCATTATTTACTTTGTTGCTGCTAATCCAGCATGGAAATGTGTTGAGAACAGTACTATTTGCAAATTGGTTGGAACCTTTGAATCTGGAGATAAAAACTACACAATGAGATGTAACATGCCAAGATCTGAATGGAAATTTGTAGAAGAATATGAATACTCTATTGTTACTCAGGTACTGAAAGAAGTTTTTTTTGTAAAATGATTTCTTCAAAAACATCTTGTAATACTTTAAAGTGATCCCCAAAATCGAATTGTGTTCATATCATAAATAATCCTTAAAAAATAAGTTTCATGTTAATTAAACTTTCCAGAACAAATTGTTTTTCGAGATATTAGCAAAAACCTTTATAATTTTTAACATTATTTGGTAAGTTCTGGTTCATAGATTTAAAAAAAAAAAAAAACTGGTCTCATAATTGCGCTTTTAAAATCATTAAATGACATTAATACAAAAAAGTTCTTTCAAATAACTTTAACTCGAGTTATAATTCCCTTTAGTAATTAATTTTTATGTAGAAGAATGCCCTTATTAAATGTATAATAACCAAATAAAAATAGCACGATAAATAAACTCTCTAAAAACTTGTTTCAGGTTAGGTGGATGGTCATCATAATCACCCTGCTACTTGTAATATATAATCCAGTGCAACCTGTTTCGTGCCTTGCTGCTTTGAGGGGTTTGCTTTCTAAGCAGAGGCTGGAAGGAGTTTGCTTGCTGTCATCAATAATTTATTTAATTTGCTTTCTGTGATCAGAAGTTTAAAATTGGTCATGTGTGTTTTAAAATTGGTCATGTGTGTTAGAGGTGCCTTAGTTACTGTTTTAGCTCACCTGTAATCTATTTTATATGTATATTTGTATTCTATTGAATCCGCTAGTGCGGTGTTGATTCACCCTTAAATTGCTATATGTATGTTTGTTTCTTACAGGTGAGTCAACACCACCTCTGGCACGATGTTGACTCACCTTTAAGAAGCTATCTGTTGTTTGCTTTCTTTCTAAACCTCTGGTGCAGTGTTCACTCACCCGTAAGTTGCAATCTCTATGTTTGTGTTCAGTTTAAACCTCTGGCACGATGTTTATTCACTTGTATGTATGTGTTCTGTCCTAAATGTTTAAATCTGTTATGATACAGTGTGAGCTCATTTACTAACTAGACACTCCAACTATAAAACCTACACTCACCCTTATCTCTAGTATTTTGTTAGATGTAGTATTTTTCCTAACCTATTTCCAAAATATCATGCCCAATGTTTTAAGTTAGTGTTCACAGGAAGTAGCTCCTTTTAATTACTCTAAGTCAGGTTAGGCTCAGGATTATCACAATCACCCTGCTACTGTTGTTGTGTAACCCAGTACTACCTGCCCTATGCCCTGCTGCCTTTTAGATTGTGCTTTTTTTGGCGAAGGCTAATCATCAACTTAAAAATCCCCTGCTTTGGGGGCTCTTGGTTAAGTAAAGGCTAGAGATGTTGTCTTGATAAAAATACTCATATTAAGCAGATGTTAACTGTATCCAGTTACTGTCTTGTAGGAGGCCTCCTAGGCAAAAACTTTAGGGGTAAGCAAAATAATTCTCTTAACCAGCCTCGAACCCCTTCTTCATCTATTCTGCTGATGTAGATGTAAACCTGTGTTACATTGTTTCCTGTCAAAGATGATAAATGCTGGAACTTCTTGGCTCTTCTTAAAGGTTTTAGCTTGTGCCTCCTTGGGAGTGGCTATGCAACGCTTCCTATTATCTCCTAATGAGGGTACAGCTCTAAAACTCAGTTTAATGGTTCTGAGGCCGACTGGTAGTAAGGTAAATAAATAGGGTTTATTATGCACTGATATTTTGCATCAACAGCTGCAAAATATCAATGCATATTAAACCCTATGTTACAACTTTGTGTTAATTAACAGAGCTGAAAAAATTGCATAGTTCATGGCTTAGGCGTTGGTGCTCTATGAATGAGTCAAGTTCTCTTTAAACTTAAATCATGCCAAAGGTAACCCTAAATATTGAAAATAAAAAACCATCCCCATCACCTGTTTTAATATATCTTATATTAATATTCGTGGTCTGCGAAGCAGCCTTCCATCAGTTAAATCTTACCTTTTGCAAAATTTACCAAACTTGCTTGCTCTTAGTGAGACCATTTTAAATTCTGCTATTCCTTCCTGTGATCTTAGTGTTAATAAGTACTATCCTTCTATTCGCAAAGACTGCAATAGTCACATGTTTGACTTTGGGGTATACATTTGCATTAGTTTACCTATTTGTTGTGAAAACAAGTTTGAATCTATTATGTGCTTCCGCTTAGCACCTCTTCACTCTATCACCTTTCTCTTTATTCTTTATTGTTCTTCTTCTTTTAAGACTGTACTCTTTTAAATGTAATTTCTGATCAAATCGACAGTGCCCTCTCTCTTTACCTCTCTGTTAATATTGTTATTATTAGTGACTTTAATGCTCATCACACTGAATGGCTTGGCTCTAATGCCACTTACCCTGCTGGCATTGAAGCCTATAACTTTTGCATTTCTCTACCTCTTACTCAGTTAACTTTGTGACTCTTTTTTTTTTCTGGCAACCCTAATCATTTACCTTCACTCCTTGTGTTTTATCTTGTCTCTGATCTTAGCTTGTTTCTTAGTTTCTCCTTTTTCTCCTTAAGGTGGTTCTGACCATACAAATGAGCTCTTTAAATCTTTCATCTGGTACTTTTTTTTTGGACTCACCCTATCATTGCACTTCTTACTCCTACCCTAAAGCTGACTTGAGTTTTTTTCTTGATTTTTTTTGTGACTGTCCTAGGGCTGATGTCTTTTCCCTCTCAGCTGAAAAATAAACCTCCTAGGTAATCTCCTGGATTCAGACAGGAATGGGAGCATTTATTCTATCTCTCATTTATGGGACTGATCTTATTACCTCTCTCAAGGATGAGGCAGAACTATTTGCAAAGAATTTTCATCTAATTCAACTCTTGAATCTTATGGTAGTTTTCTTCCTCTTAGTCCAATTTAACAGGTATACCATTGTTAGACATTCAAATCACTCTAGCTTCTGTTGCTAAAGTCAGACAACATTCCTGTCTTAGTCTTTCAAAGTTGTTCTCCAGAACTCTCTTCAATTTTCTCTAAACTATTTAATAAGTGCTTGACTGATTATTGTTTTCCTGCCTGCTGGAAAATAGATCTCTTGTTTCAATTTTCCAAAACTCCGGTGAACTGACCCCTCCAATTGTTGTCTGATCAGTCTTCTTTCTGTTATTAGCAAGGTCTTTGAGTATTTGTAAACATAGTTGGACCTACTCTTGCAGCCAACCTTCAACCTTTGTGTCATCATCGTAATGTTGCTTCTCTTTCTCTTTTCTACAAATAGTATAATGGGCACTGCTCTGAAGAGCTAGCATCTCTTGTGCCATCTACTAAAATTCACTCTCGTGTTACTCGTCATTCAATTAAGTCTCATCCTTTTTTTGTTACTGTTCCTAAAAACTCTTATTTGTCTAGTTTTTTCCCTCGAACATCAGTTCTTTCGAATTCGCTTCCTTCATCTTCCTTTCCTGATTTATATAATTTGTAATCTTTTAAATCGTCTGTCAATCGTTATCTTGCTCTACAATCTTTATCTTTTCTCTTCCAGTAACTTCCAACACTTATTAGTGGTTGCTTGCAGCCTTGTTGGAAGTGAAGATGATGAAAAAAAATAATTTGATCAACAAATTTCTCACATTTCGTCTTGAGTCAAATAACTTACAGTCAGACAATCGATTAATTTTTTAATACTTTTTTTCTATGGTTGACTTGCTTACTGCTGTGACTGAAAGAGTTTATCATACATTAAATGGAGGAGGATATGCTAGGGCTATTGCTCTTGACATATCTAAGGCTTTCAACAAAGTTTGGCATGCTAATTTTCTCCATAAGCTTGTTTTATATGGTGTATCTGGGAAAGTTTTTTGAGATTATCAATATTTTTTATTCTAACCACTTTATTAAAGTCATCGTCAAAGACTAACACACTTTTAACACTTTTTATTTCGAGTAATTTCTGGAGTACCTCAAGGTACTCCAGAAATTACTGGAATTTTGTTTTTATTATTTATGTTAATGATCTTCCAATCGACCTTACATCTAAAGTAGCTCTTTTTGCTGAATACTCTATACTCGTGTCTTGACAAAAAGTCTTCTCTTTTTGATTGCTTAGAACAGACAGCTGATCATGCATTTGATCTCAGTTCTGTAACAGATTGGGGCTCACAGCGCACAGTGGACCGGATATTAGGTGTATGGTGGACAAAGTTATTTTAATTTTTTCTTTTAACTAAAACCCTTAATATGTCCAAAGAATCACTTTGTTTTAAGATATATTTACTTTTATTATAAATTTTGTTAAATAGATGCTAGTACTAAAAATTATTTAACAAACTTTATAAAGTTTTAAAAACGCGAATTTATAATTTTTTAGTTTCAAATTCTATAACTTCTTGAAATCATGGAACTGAATAGCAAGCTCTTCTGGTGGAATAAACTTTGAAAAAAATTGATGCAACAAATTTTAAAAATAAAAATGCGCATTTCAAAAAAAATGAAAATTTATCACTAGATTTGAAACTCTAATATCAATATTATATAATAGATTTAAAATATATAGATAAAAATATAAAAATATATAGGAAATATAAATAAATATATAGATTTGAAACTCTTTATATTATTATATGTCCACATAAATATTATTATATGTCCACAACGCTTTGATAAGTCTGTAGATTATTTATCATATATATAATAATGTATTTTTTTTATTTTCATCTATTGTCCGCACATTCTGGATGAGTAATATTACGTTTTTTCTAAAGAGTGCTAAAGGTACTATGCAAATAATCAACAGACACTCTTTATTTGTCACCATTAAAATCAGTCTATTGCACCATCAAAATCAGTCTTGCATCTAAACGTCAGTTTAGTTAATTCCTTAGCATTGTGATTAGCACAGTAGTTTGCATACCACATAGCTTTTTAAGAGTGTGTTTTATAACATCTTTTAGCAGTATTTGCACTGAATAGCCATCTATTTGAATGTTCTTGGGATAGCATCTAGCTTTTGAAGATCTTATGTCGTTTTCTGAAGGATATATGCGGCAGCCGTTTTTTTCAGCACCATTTCTTAGAAGCTGGTATGTTGATTTTGATATATCACCATTTGTAATTAATGCTAAAGCTTCATCAAGTGAATATATCTAAATAGGTTTAATGGATGACTTTTAATTAAAATTTCAGAAATTTTTGCGCCAGTTTTGTACTTAAACTCACTCCTTAGTTTTAATTTAGTTGCATGAAGTAATTTAGAGCTAAATAAAATATTACCAACATTGTTAGAGACACTTTTTCAAACTACCACAATAAAATAAACTACCGCAAAACAAGTTTAATTTATTAATTATGAAAACAAATCTAGAAGTGTTATTTTGTAAATGTACATATTGTTGAATGTCTATTTTGCTTTTTTTATTTTTATTTTATTAATATTAAATAGTTAAATTTAACATAAGTTATCATTTAACTAATTTTTTTTTTCCCAATTTTTGTATAAATTTAAAATGTTAATTTTTTTTTTTTTTCCATTATTTCTTAAAACTGCGGCTTTGCAAATAATAATGATTTTTTAATTAAAAAGTTTGACAAAAATAAAAAATATTACAAACAAAAAAAATTTCTTGTTGCAAAAAAAAACTTGAGTTAAATACTTTACAATCACCTTTTTATTTGTGTGACAAAGATTTAAGTTTCCAAGTATTATTTGTTAAAAAGTATATACGGTTGCACTTTCATGGCAACAAAGTTAAACATACCCTTTATAAATGTTTTTGATGCAGTGCTATAACAAATTGTTTACAGGGAATTTAAATAACTTCTTTAATTAAAATTTTTTCTAAATAATAAGGAAATTTAATTGTTATCGCAATAATCTAGATTTTCCTATATTTATAGTAATGTACTTATACTATCTACCCTTTGTCTTTTAAGATTAACTTAATCTTGTTTTGTCTTTTAAGATTAACATAATTCTTATCTTTCTTGGAAACATTACATTAAATCCATCATATACATTAAATCTGTTGCAAAATTAGCATCTGCTAAGGTTGCATCTCTTTATCATGCTCGCCACTTTATTACTCTGGATTCTATTTTTTATCTATATAAATCCCAAGTTCATCCATATCTGGAGCAGATCTTTGAATTATGCTTTTTCTCTTTTGAACAGAGTGCAAAAATGCATTGGAAATATAGTTAGACCTGCTCTTGTTTCCAACCTCCAACCATTGTCACATTGTTGTAATGCTGCTTCGCTTTCTCTTTTCTTTAAATACTATAATAGATGCTGCTCATAAGAGCTAGCGTCTCTTGTGTCATCTACTGAATTTCATTCAGTCTCATCCTTTTACTGTGACTGTTCCTTAGTGCTCCAAAATATCTTAATCATTTAGTTTCTTTCCTAGAACATCAGTTCTTTTGGAATTTGCTCCCTTTATCTTGTTTTCCTGATTTATATAATTTGCAATCTTTCAAGTTGTCTGTTAGTGCTTATCTTGCTCTATAGACTCCATCTTTTCTCTTCCAGTAACTTCCAACTCTAATAGTGGTTGCTTTCAGTCTTGTTGGAAGTGAAGATGTTTAAAAAAAGAAAAACCTCATCCCTTTGGAACTCTCTTCCTGATTTTTTAATTTATACAACCTACAAGTCTCTATTCTTTGTTTTCTAGTAACTCTCAAATTAATAGTGATTGCACCTACCACTGGCATCATTTGCACTAATAACACAATAGTTTCAAAACTTCGAAAAATATTAAATCATCATAAAAATCTTTTTGAAAAATTATTTAAATTTTAAGTTTTGTTAAATTTTGCAACAAAAGCAAGTAATCAAACATGATTAGTTGAAAAAACTGCAGAAAAAATGTTTCACAAATATTGGCATGTGAAAATGTTGTCACTGGCTCTGCACCACAACTTGTCTTTCTTTTTCATTGTCAATGAGACAATGTCAAAGAGACTGTATTTTTTTCTGCTGAAAAAAAAGTATTTAAATTTTTATCTTCCTTGCTGGTGTAAACCAAGGATGGGTGTAAATCATTAAAATAAAAAATTCAAAAAATATTTAATTTTTCTCTAAAATTTAAAATGATTTCTTTTTATTAATTAAAGCAATTATTTCACTTTAGTTTGGTTTATTTTGTGAAAATGAAAGTTTAATATTTGTCAGTCACTCACTGTTATTTGCAGGATCTGCAGTTGGATCTCTCATCTGTGGATGGCTAGCTGATAAGTAGGATTTTTTTCAAATTTGCCAATGCAGTGTCTAATAAACTATATTTTCTTTGTAAATTATATGGTTTTTTTGTTTTCAATGATTTCTTGACACAATAAAATTATTTTTTTAGTTATATTATAGTATATTTATTTTATGTTATTACATTAATACATGTTTTGACTTGATTTTATAAGTTATACAAGCTGTTGGGTACTGTAGGCTAGGTACTACTGTCTGTTGAACACTCTTTATTAGCTCATGGGACATTTTAAGTTTAACATTTTTTAATTTAAAAGTACTTTCAACAGTTTATGAGTTATCTCATTAATAGCAATAATGGAAATAATAATAACAATAATTAAGTTAGTAAGAGTTCTCTCAATTATTAGTTAGTAAGCAAGGTTTATCATAATAATAATAATAATAATAATAATAATAATAATAATAATAATAATGTTTGTGAGAGTTATTACAAAAATAATGTCGATAAATTTAATTATTAGGTATCAGTTATTTTTATGTGCCATTTCAAGTTAATAATTTAAATACCAATATGCTTGTTTGTTTTTCGTTTTTTTTTAATAATTCAGTCCTAACAACCACTAATTAAGTTGAGTAAAAAATAAAGAAGAGAGCTGACGAGAAGAGAGCTGATGAGAAGAAAATTGACAGAAGACTTAAAAAACTGAAAATTGTATGTGTTCTGAAAACATCAAGATGAGAGAAATATCTGAAGCATCAATGATTACAGAAAATATTAAGATTAATCAAACTTTTTTGTGCACAAGAAACATTTACAGTAAAAGGACGCAACTGGATGATGAGTCAACCAGCTGTTGCGTCCTTGCAACCAGCTGTTGCGTCTATTTAATGATTGCATTTTGGTTGATGGAACAACCGGTAATAGCTTGATTGAGCAGCGACCACAAAAGTATTTGTAAAAATGAGATAGAGATACAATCTTATGGTAACTGGATAGTGTCTCATGTTTGGCAACTATAGTAGGTCTAGCTATATTAACAATGTGTTTTAGGACCTTGTCAAAATAAGAATGAGCATCATTAGAAGAACCAGTCTAAATACACGTATTCCTTAAAAAATTAAATAAGAAATTTTCAGACTTGAGAATCGAATCAGCAATGATAATAAATAATATTTTTATTCTTTTTTTTTTTTTCTTAAATGTTTTGGTAATGTATCTCCATCTAAAAGTAATTAATATTAATAATAATAGGATAATTTAAACCTTTAACAAAACTCTTTGTCTAGATTAGTAAGTTTACGCTACAGGTGCTTAAATAAAACAAAATACAAATATTTTTTGAATTAAACTTAACATGAGGGTTTAAAGTAACATGAGGGTTTATTACTTATGATATTAGTAAATGATAAATAAAGTAATTTTTTTTATTTGAAAAAATGTTCTCAAATTTGCATACAGCATTGAAATACAGCATTTTTCGTATTTTGTGATGTTTTTTTTTTTTTTTTTGCCCTTCAGGCAAGAAAGTAATAATCTATCTAAGAGATTATAAATAGGATATATCTAAATATGAATCGCTTACTTGAAAAAGAATTTTTGCATATAATGTCATATCTAAATAATATGTGAAGACCACATTGGAAAAGGTGGCTTTGTCACATTTAAAAAGTTTCAAGAAAGTATTTATTGATCATTAATTAAAGTCTTTATACAAAGAAGAAGAGAAAAAAAATTGTAATAAAAATTATAAAAATTTTATTTTGATTAAACTAAATAAATTAATAAATATATAACTTTTATTTTTCAAATCTTAAATATTCTTTGATTTATATATAAAAATTAAAAATCAATAAATATTTTTCAAATGTGACAATGCCAGTTTTAATAACATGAAGACCTTAGTCCACTGAGGTCTTCATGTAATAGCTATTTTTTTCCACTAAGGTCTTCATGTAATAGCTATTGTTTAAGTAAGGTAGTAAGTATTTAGCAACATTAATTTTAAATATTTTTTCATACATATTTATTTATAATTAAAAATTTTTTTTCAATGTGGGTGTATTTATATAAATTTTTATATATTTTTATGTGTGTATTTATATAATATCTTCAAATGATTGAGTATATACATAATATGACAAGAACTTTTTTGTGTTAAAGATATGGTAGAAGACAATTGCTGATTCCATGTAACATCGTAGTTATAAGTGTAGCATTTGTTAGTGCTTTCTCACCAACATACTGGTTATTTGCATGCTCCAGGTTTGTTGTTGGCTTTTTTGGAGGTACAACATTAGCTATAATGTTTATATTAAGCTCAGAGTTGGTTGGATCACGATATCGTCCTACTGCTGGAATTGTATTGTGGTTCTTCTTCACTTTTGCATTGGTGATGTTAGGTTTGGTTGCTATGAAAGTTAGAAAATGGAAGATGCTGATGATTGTTTCGACTGCTCCTTATTTTTTGGTTATTCCACTTTTATTGTAAGTCTATACAATTTTTACTCTTATAAAAAGTTTTACTTATAAAACTTAAAATATAAAAATTACATAAATGAAAAAATAAAAATTACATAAATGAAAATTCTTACTAATCTTGATCATCTTAAATAGGTATATAAAAAATATATCTTGATCATCTTAAATAGTAAAAATATATTTTTATTTTAAATAATAAAAATATATTTTTAAAATTATTTTTACTTAAAAGTTTTACCAATTTTTAAATGTTAAAAAAACGTTAGTATCATTATAATTATATGATTAAGTTAATTATGTTAATTATGTTAATTATTGTTATTATATGTTAGTTAAATGTTTTTATAATAAAAGATATAAAATTACATGTAAAACATAAAAGTTTTAAAATTTAATAAATTTAATTTTTTTAAATTGAACTGAAAATAAATAATTTAACCAAATTTTGTTCAATTGTTTGCATTGGTAGTTTTATTCCTGAATCTTTACGCTGGATGCATTTAAATAGAAAGATGGAACAACTACATCGGGATATTCAAAGAATTGCTAAGATCAATGGAAAAGAACCATTACTCATAGAGCTCTCTCCTTTAAATGAAAAAGAATTATCTGTTAAACCATGGATGTTGTTTAGTACCAAAAAAATGGCATTTACTACCTTGAGTATTGGATTTGCTTGGTAAGAATATATAATATATGCAAAATATACATATACATATATACAATATTAGAATGTATAATATTAATTAATATCTGTTAGGACACCACTTTTTGCTGAAGTATAAATCATCCAACTAATTTACTTTTCTCTGGTAATATAACAAAGCTGGATAAAATTTTGAATTTCCTAAAAAACAATCTTTTTTTTTTTTTTTTTTTTTCGTTAATTTTAAGTACTTCATTATTATTTATTTGCATTTTTCTTTAATAAAAGTGAAAAAAATATATTTAAGTCCTATAATATTTTAATATTGAATTTAATGCTGCTGCTCCTGCTGCTGCTGCTGTTGTCATTACTCATTTGTGCTGTTTGCACAGAACTTTCAGCAGTTTTGCATTACAAATTGCAGCAACATCTTAATTTTGATTTATAGCATTTATTTGTTGTTTAATTAAGTCTTTTGTTTGTTAAATAGTGTTAAAACATTTAATGAAATATATATATATATATATATATATATATATATATATATATATACATATATATATATATATATATATATATATATATATATATATATATATATATATATATATATATATATATATATATATATATATATATATATATATATATATATATATATGTATATATATATAATTGTATTTATATATATGTATATATATATATATATAAATATAAGTATAAGCATGTATATATATTTATATAATTCGATTTCCATCATGTCCCTGTTAGTACAGTGTCTAACTTGGGAGTTTTTAAGTATGGTTATAAACTGTAATTTTTTTTAATTTAGGTTTTTTTAATTAATTAATTTTTTTAAATTTTAGGTTTATTAATGGACTTGTTTATTATGGATTGTCAGTTGCTGTTGATAACTTAAGTAATCATTTTTATCGCAATTACATTTTATCAAGTTTAATTGAACTGCCTGCTATTTTAATTGGTATTCTAGGAGCCACATAGTGAGTTTTTTGTTACATAAATCCTTATTAGAAAGTAAATGTTTTTATTCTTCCATAGCAAAAATTAAAAATAAACAAACCATAAAACAAAATCTTAATGAATAATAAAACAAGAGCAGCCGTGGTAGCACACTTGCCTCAGAAACGTAAGATCCATGGTTCAAACCCACCTCTGGGCAAGTTTTGCGACATTGGTTGGGAAGGAGACGTAATCTTCCTATTAAACGCTCTTTTGCGGTGCTCTGTGATAAGACCACTAGGACTTCTTAGGGCACCTAAAAAAAAAAAAAATTAAAAGATAAACCATTTTATTTTTACTGGTTTATCTTTTATTTTATCATTTGTTAAGATTTTTATTTTTTTAGTTTAGTTTTGTATTTTTTTATTTATTTTTTATTTCTCTTTTCAGTTTATTGTTTGTTTGTAATTTTAGTTTAAGTTTACATTTGTTTATTCAGTGCATTTTTTAAAAGCTCTAATTATCAAAACTTGCAAAGAGTTGTGGCCTTCAAAACAAAATATTATACACGTGGTCATATAAGGCGTGCAACCACATGCCTTTCCTGAGAAGGCTTGGATTGCTGATTTTTTTATTCTAGTAGAAATTTTTATGTTAAAATAATTATATTTTTAAAATTTAATAATTTTTTAGATTAAAATTCTTAAATCTTTTAATAGCTTCTTTAAGTAATCTAAAACTTTGAATTTCCAGCACAGTTTTATCACATTAGGGTTTCCAACTTCTAGAATATGATGGAGTCAGGATAGTTACATGACTTTGACATGTAACTATTACTTTTAGCAATATTTTATTGTTGCTATGGCGTTGTCAAAACATAAGTTTTTATAGGAATCCCCAAATACTGAGATAAGTTGTATTTATTTCACAAATACTGAGATAAGTTGTATTTATTTCACAAATAGACATAAAAAAATTAGCTTAGAATTAACCAAACTTAAAATAAATTATTTATTAAGATATTAATAAAAAACACATTGACTGTTGTTGTTTTTTCTTTGCCATCTTGTTTCTGTTTCTAAGGCTAATATTAAATTTATCAGTCTTATTATTTCTGCAATTTTGGTATAAAAATATCTGATTTGATTGATGAATGTGAATGTTTGATTGATGAATGTGAGTGTTTGATTGATGAATGTGAGTGTTTACCATAGAGTTTGATTAAACCATTTAGTTTACAATCAAGGTTTTTCCTTTATTAATTTGTTATTACTGATTATATTAAAGTGTTCATGCTGAGTTCCAGTTTATAAAGTTTTTTGAATTATGGTTGTACTGGAGATTTTTGACGAAATGAAAAATATTATTAAAGTTTACTTGAGCATTTTTTAAAAGTTATTTTAATTAAAAAAATATTTGTTAAAAGCTATTTTATTAAAAAAATAAACTGGATATAAAATTTTATAATTTTATTAAGCTTTTTTTATTATATTATATTTGTTTTAAAATAAAATAAAAAAAAAGACTTTTAAAGCTGTAATGATGTCATATCAAACTTCAGTATTCTAGATTTTATAGAATTTTATATGTAAGGCCTTCTTCTTGATGCTATGATAAAAAGATCAGACAATACAATATCATGCAAATTTCTATTAAACTTTATATAATTAAATAGTATAACAAATTTGCATTTGATACTTTATCAATTTTTCTATAGGATGTACTGTTTTGGTCAGTGAAACCTAATATTGAATTTGAGTGGATTAAAGTTTAATTGTTGAAAGGCTTCTAGCTAAAAATTGTTTGAAAATGTAGAAGAAAATGTTTTTAGCAGATAAAATTGTTGCAAAATACTGAAATGTACTAAAGATGTATTTGAGTTGTTTCATATAGTAGAACATATTTTTCCGAAAGTAAAATTAAGTTTGTGGAACAAAATCTCATGGTTGTCGTGAATCTCTTTTATGAATAGGAAAAGGGTAGATGGTAAATAAGTTTAACTCAAATCCTGCTTTGGATGCATGGTATAAAAAAAAAATAAGAAAGCTTTTTTTCTGCACCTTATCCAGAAAAATTAAAGAAATCTGCTTATGTAAAATGTATTGTTAATTTTTTTTATTTGACAATATTTAGAAAACAAAATTATTAGTGATAACCCTATTATGATATTTTGCTTTTTTTAAAAAAAAAAATAAATTTGTTTTGCTAAATATTTGTTTAAGCAGACATAAAAATTACTTTTAAAGATATTTGTCTAACCATATAAATTATTTTAATGAGTAATTTTAAGTTTATTTTAATGAGTTAAATTATTTTAACGAATAAAAATATACCACAATATATTGCCAAGACTGCAGTGCAGATTTAAAAAATTTTTTTTTTTTTTATGTTTTTATATAAGATTATAAAATTTATAAATGTTTTACTTTGACATATGTATAACATTGACATGTATTGAAATTAATTTTTTTACCCATCACTCGTTGACTATTACTTAAATTATTTTAACTGTAGCCGGATGTTTAATGAACAAATATAATTTTTTTTATCCACATAATTCTAAGTATAAAATTGACACGGGGTCATAAGTTAAACTAATTTCTTGTTTTTTTGTTGATGAATTTATTATGATAACATAAAATGGAATCAAACAAAGCAAATCCAAAAGTGTTAATTTAAAAAAAGTACATCAACAAGTCTCAAATTCAACAAATGCAAAAAGTTTAAAATTCAATGATGCTGCTTAATACAAATTAGAATCAACCATTAGAACCTGAAGATGTAAAAAATTATCTTGTCGTTACAGAAATTAAACCATGCACCAAAAAGTCTGTCAAAAAGAAATCCACAAAAAATTAGAACAATGCAAGATTTTGAGTCAGATATTGAGCTTGATAGTTTGACATTTCTTATTGTTAAGGAATGCTAATTTATGATTAAAAAGGTTTTTAATCATAAATTAACTTTTTTATATATTCAAGTATCAGAACTGATGCTGGTTAATATCTTTTAAATAAAAATATTTCATTAACATGGAAATTTTTAATGCTTTTTAAAACTAAAATGGAGCTTAGCGCTATATATATTTAAAATGTTTTCTCTTTTTTGTTTGTCAAAACAACAATGGTTATATCACCTTGCTCTATGTAAATAAACATTTACTGCATAAACATACTGATGTCAATGTAACCCCATATACATTAACAGTTTCACGCCAACAAACAAATTAACTATCTATTAATAATACTGCATAACTAATCAAATTTTTAAAATTTTAAAAATAATTTTGTCACATCAAAAAAAAATTTACCTCCTAAAGATGCATCAGCTACACCACTTTACCTTATTTTTGCAAAATTATCAAATTTTATATGGTCTTTTCAAGACACAAAAGCCACAAAATATTATCTGCAAACCTTTTTTGTTGCTATTGTCATGATTTAATATATTGAAGAGGTCTTGATGCAAGCATAATTAATCTTAAGCAATTAATCAGTTAAATCTTAAACAGTTTCCTCATTCCCATCATTCATTGTAACATCAAATTGTAACAAAAGCTTCAGATAATACACACAAATAGCAATAACTGGGACAATTACGTGCAACATTGCACTGCCGATACTTTTATTTGATAAAGTTGTTGATTTATCAGTAATATAAAAATGTTGTTGCTCTTCAGTTGCATGAAATTTATATATTAAAGATTTTTAATACAGTAGTGGTGTAGTGGTAAAGTGCTCGATACCACAAAATGGATTTTGAATTTGATAAATCAGAAAATAATTCACTTTAATTCTAAATAGTAATCAATGAATTATTTGATTAATTATCTAATAAAAGTTTCGTTAAAATTTAATAGATGTTAATTCAAGCCTAACTAAACTAATCCGCTAAATATTGTGAGTGAAAAATGTTAAGAGAATTGCAATCGTACTCAATGGATTTTTATTATTTTGTTTCAGTCATGTTTTAGTATAGCCAATTTTTGTAAACACATTTATATAAATTTATCTTTTTATCTAAAGGTTTGCTTTGAATGAAATTAAATTCATGGTTCTTTTCTAGTGTTGGTCGAAAATGCACTGTAGTTTATCCTATGCTTTTAGCTGGTTTGCTTTGTGCATTGGTAACTGTTATTGACGAGAAAGAAACTCGACAGCGTATGTCAATTTTTAAATAATCTCTATAAAATTATTTCTTTTAAAATAATTAGTCTCCCTAAAAAAATTTTTAACTCCAAATAATTTTTCAGGTTTTATAAACACTCGAGTGGTACTTGGATTATTTGGCAAATTTTTTGTTACTCTCTCCTATGACACTATATACACGTGGACTGTTGAACTTTTTCCTACACAGATTAGGTCTGACTTTTTTTTTTTTTTAATTTTAGAAATTCTATAAATAAAAATAAAAATACATAAATGTAGAAATGAATGGAATAAAAACAAATGCAACATATTTTTCGAAACATATTTTGATATATTTTGAATTAATAGTATATATTCTTTAGTAAAATTTTAGACATAAAAAAAGTTTTAAATTAGGTAGCTTTATTTTTTTTTTCAATTTTAAGAACGGAAGCACTCGGCTATGTTTTGATTGCAAGTCGTATTGGAGGTATGTTTTCTCCTTGGATTTCAAAATGGTTGCGTGTAATTCATTGGAGAGTCCCTTTTGTGATGATGGGGGTTTTAACTATTGTATCTGCGCTTCTGATGCATTGGTTACCAGAAACCAAAGAGAAGGCAACCCTTGAAAAACTTGAAGATAGTATACAGGTTGAGGAAAATAAGCTATAACATTTTTTATACCAATCAGCTATGTTTAAAAAAGAGTGTTCATTGATCAATTAGATAAATCTTATCAAAACTCTTACAATCATATGCTGCTGTTTTTTAAAGAATTATTAATTTTTAATGTTTTGTTTTTTTTTTTTGTTTTGAATAAACAGAATTTTATACATAAATGTTTGAAATGCTTTAAATTCTTTAAAGTTTTAAGTCTTTTGCTTTCTCATTATTTTGAGAAAATATTTTTTTTTTTTTACTGAATATTTTATATATTAAATTTAAGATTTAATGTTAAGTAGAGTTTATTATATTGAACAGTAAATATTATATTGAACAGAAGATAATATATAAAACAGAACTTTATTTAATTATATTTTTATATATTGATTTTTTAATATTATATTCATTACAGATTATTATAAGTTTTAAATTATTTGGTAGATTTTTTTATTATTTATTTTTTTCTAGTTCTACTGTTTTAATTTTTGTATTATTGCAAAATTGAGAAATCTTTTGTTTCATTAGGTATAAGTTTATTTCAACAATGTTTCCTAATATTATATATATATATATATATATTATATATATATATATATATATATATATATATATATATATATATATATATATATATACAACCCTCGAAATTAGGGTCGGCATTCAGCAATGCCAAATGAGGCAAAAAATTGCCGGCCTCATTTCTATGTTATATGGTAAGACCTTTGTATCAAATAATTTTTACTGACCTAATGTTGACCTTTAAAAGATTGAGGTCGGCAAATTATTGCCGGCTTCATTTTTATTAATTCCAAGGGTTGATATATATATATATATATATATATATATATATATATATATATATATATATATATATATATATATATATATATATATATATATATAATATATGTATATATATATATATATATATATATATATATATATATATATATATATATATATATATATATATATATATATATATATATATATATATATAAGTTGCTGTGTACCTTGCTGTGCGTATTTATTATATGCACAGCAAAGTACACATGTGCATATATACATATTAGCAACCAAGTTCTCATCATTTATTTAACATTCAACATTTTTACAACTATTTTTTTTTTTTTTTTTGCATGTTTAAAAATATCGAAAAGAGGATGTTTTGTACTACCAGAATTTATTTGTTTTTTTATTAGGTTAATCATTTTCCATAATTTTAGGCTTTTATAATGAAATGTTTTATAATTTTTTATTGTTAGAATGGATTATAATAATATCAAGTGAAAAAAACATTTTAAATTTTCTTTATTTTGCTTTTAATCAAGATTATTTTTGCAAATGCTGTTTGTGACAGTTGTGCTGTGTATATATAAGTTACCATAACAGAAAAGGCCTGCTCATGATTGGTACGCAAAATTTCTTTTTATCTCAAAGCTCAACCTTTCTGGTCATTCAGTTAAATCTTAGGAAGTTTTATTAACTTATCTATAAAAATTTGCACTAATCAACAATCAAACTTGCATAAAAATTGGAGTGCCATTTTTTATGCCAGTTAATGCTATTGAGAAGCATCTTTTTAATGGAAAAGGTTCAGAAGTGTAAAGCACAGATACCAGATGCTTAAAGTGAACATAACCGAATTCAATGAACTCAATCTGTGCTAGTTTGTTTGCTTGTCACCACTCAACTATTGGACTCATTGATAATGATGATGATCATGATTATAATGATGATCATGACGATGATTATGATAATGGTGTTGATTATGATCATGATAATGATTATGATCATGATAATGATTATGATGATGATCATGATGATGATTATGATTATGATCATGATGATGATTATGATAATGGTGTTGATTATGATCATGATAATGATGATGATCATGATGATGATTATGATCATGATGATGATTATGATTATGATCATGACGATGATTATGATAATGGTGTTGATTATGATCATGATAATGATTATGATCATGATGATGATCATAATAAAATCAGGTGATTTCTACAAACAGTTAATTGAAAATATTGTTGAGCGTTGTTCAACCAGTAAAGTAGAATACATACTCATGAAGGTATTCTTATCTATAAAAAAGCAGGATAAATGTTATTAGTTAGTTTATTAATTTTATAGTTGCTAATTTTTATTTAAAAAATTAGAAGTTAATTTTTAAAAAATAACAAACAAACTTCCAAAACTTAGTTGCTGATTAGTAATTAATAATTAAGTCACTACTTGACTGAGGTTTTGAGTTTGTTATAGAAGTATTTATGTATAAGGGACTATAAACGCATATAAGGACCTATACATTTAGCTTTTGTGTTTAATTTATTATTCTTATTCTGAAAAAAATACTACCTGGGTATACCCTCAACTATCAGGTAATTTATTTATACTTTCCCCTGTTATTATTGAATCATAAAGCAGTAGCTGTATTTTCTCAGTTATTTAACATATGTAACTAAGATATGCTTTTCATATTCAATGTCTCATGTATGTAAAATATGTGCTTATGTTCGTGATCTTTTTTTCTTAACTATATTTAATTTTATTATTATGTTAATAGTTTTTTATTTAGATTTATATTATTCTGTTATGTCAAAAAGCAATTTTATATTTAGCAAATGGATGATACTTTGATTGATAAAATGGAAAAGAGTATTATTTTAATTGCCGGAATTGTTGGCTGCTTTTGCTTGTCTCTTCTATTGACTTATATTACATTTTTTATTGGAGTTTGGTGGAAGTTATCCTACAATGCGTATACATTGAATTTTAGTTTGTGGAAAATTGTTTCTAAATTTTCAAGTTCTAAAGAGGTTTCTGTTTCTTTAACTGCTTCAAAACTGGAATCAGGTATTTTTACTTCAATAATAAGTCAATGCCAAATGGATAAGTTGGAAATGATGTTTGTTTATTTTTCATAGTAATTATAACAGTTCGTACTGGCTTAGCTATTTCTATGATTCTATACGTGTTATTAATTGCGACATATGTTGCTTCATTTTTGCTAAAACGACGAAACATGCCAATTCATTTATGGTCAAAAGCTCGAACTGTTCTCTTCATATTGCTTCGTAAGTTTTTATTCTTATTTAGTAACTTGTTGTATGTAATATTTTTACATATTGTATGACAGGCCTTGGTTGACGTAAATGAGTACAAGAGTGTAGAAATACTCTCCTAAAACATACAAGGCCATGTTTATTCGAGCAATATGTTTATTAAAAATTGCTTTATTAGATAGAAACTTGATTCGTTATAAGTCTTGTAACGCTATAGTTACAAGTTTATATGCCTAATGAGGGTCGCATTGCACCGTGAAAACTTAGGAAAAAATTCTGTTTTAAAAAATTTTTTAGACAAGCGTTTTCTTTGGGTTTTCAAAATAGCTATCCATTTATTCATTAACAACTTCATCGATCGAAAGTTCAATAAACTAAGAGTTACAAATTTTTTTATTTTTTTTACTTTTTCAAATGTATTTTTAAAAAACTTTAATTCGTAAACTGAATTTTACTTAACAGCTTTAATATAAAAACATGGAATTGTCAAAGATTTATGACAGAATATTATCAATTTATTTTTTTATAATAACATTATCATAAGTAACTGATTTTTTATTTAAGAAACCAATCTGTTAGTCCGTTGTAATCAAAAACATATGCAACTTCAGTTGGCACATTTTTTTAGTTTTACATAGTTTTAAATAATTTCTACACAAATGATTTATACACAACTTTATTGGTTTTTTTTCGAAAATGAATGTTTGGCATTTTTCATCTTAGACACAACGGTAATGCTTTTTCTTTTATAAACAACTTTGTGAGCTTGACCATATTATCAATGTTATAGTGATATTCACAGTATTTCAGACTAAAGATTTTATGATAAAAAAATCTTTACACAGATATGCACTGCATATTTGTGTTTGAAATAAAAAGAAAAAGTTTTTTTTTTTCATGTTTTTATTAACTCCTCGTGAACATCAAATCTTTCAATCAATTTCTGAGTCACTTCCTGATGATAGATTTTTCAATCAACTTCCTGATGATAGATTTTTTTACAAATTTTGCATACATTCTCTTGATTGATGACAATACAATATTCAATAATTAGTTTTGCAATAAGTCAATTAATTTAGTTAATTATTATTAAGTTTATTTTTGATATGGAAAGAAGAAAAAAAATTTTCTAATTAGAAAATAATAGTGGTTTATATAATGTAAATTGCTACATTAAATAAACCGTAAGCCGTAAATTTCTTTCGTAAATTAGTTTGAGCATGTTCAGCATGCTCAAACTTATTTTGATAAAATGTTTGACATTTTACAAGCTTTTTTCTTTTGTATGTTAAGCTAATACTAAGTAAACAGAATTGTAATTTTTTTTGGTATCACAGTACTAACATAAATACATCACAAAAAAATTTTAATATTTCAGTAAAAGATTTTGATATTTTATTAAAAATTACATAACATTTGTTATTTTTACATACGTAAATAAAAACTAAATATATTAAAATCTTATTATAATTATAATTTAGTGTTATAGTTTTTTAATACTCAAATTTATTTATTATATTTATTTATAATATTATTTTTAATGTCTTTTACTTCTTTATTCTTTTAGTGTTATCGTTTGTCATAGTGATTACGCACGCTGCGCATTGTCCACCCATCTATCTAGTTGGTCAAAACACAATGTCATCTTCTTTATCGTCAGGCTGGAATATGTGTTTAGCCGCTCTCTTTTTTGTCGCTGTGCCAGCAAATTTACATTTCTTCATAGAATTCCGGATTTGGAGATCGGAAATCCGTAAAACGTAAATTGAATTACCTTCTTTCGCGTATTTAAGTTATTTTACTTGCAAAATTTGCAAGTAGTACCCAGTAGTACCCTGTAAAGCAAGTAGTACCAAGTTTTATTTTTTATACTATTTATGTTTTGATAATTTTGTTAAATATTTGTATATATGTAACAAAAAAAGGCACTGCTGGCAGTATTTTCTTGTTTTTGTTGCTGTTTCGTAAAGGTTTATGCTAATTTTTTGTTTCAGAATTGGATACGAAATACTGATTGCGAAAAATTAGTTTCGTGCAATTAAATTTAATTTTGCAGTTGAATGAGTTGAAACCACCATTTAAAATTCAGAAAAATATTAAATTGTTTAAAATCTTGAGTCATGTTTTGAACATAGTTTTGTTTTTAACATGATAACGAATTCATGGTTTTACCTCCTAAAACAACACAGTAAATCTCTTAATACAGAGGTAGTCAGATTTTTGCTACTAATTTAATGTATTATTATATATATAAAATAATGTTATAATATATAGCGAAGATTCGGGTAATATGAACATAATTAAGATGTGAGCAGTACTTTGTATTTTTTGAATTAAATTTATGCGGTGATAACAGAATTTACGCTAATTAAAACGTAACATCTAATTGAAACGACATTCAATTATTTGTTTTGGTAAAATACTATTAGGGATGGCAAAAATCCCGGAAATTTTCAATCCCGGGATTTCGGGATTGAGAAATAAGTCCCTGGGAAATCCCGGGATTTAATTAAAAAAACGCAATTGTTAAAAGAGCATAATAAGAATATTTTTAAGTACTCATCAAACACTTAAAAATGATTAATTTAATGATAATTTAACTAAAATATTTGATTTATTAATAAACCTAAAATTAAGTTTAAACATCTGATGTTTTAACTTAATTTTGTTATATTAAAACTTATCTAAGATGATAACATGAAATAAATTCTAAAATGATAACATGAAATAAATTCTAACTTTTTTCTACCAGGTTATAATTCAATTCACCAACCCAGGAAAAACGGCATCGGCGGAGGCGTATGTATTTTTATTCTAAATTCTTTTACTTTTAGAAAATTACTTAGCCTTAGTGTCAATGACGCTAATTGTGAGTCGTTATCAATTGAAATTCTTAATCGGAAAACCAAAAATATTTTTATAACTTCTCTTTACAGACCGCCTAATCGTAATTTTGAAGCATTTGAAAAACACTTAAAAAATATATTGCCAAAAGTCATTAAAAAACACATTTATATAACTGGTGATTTTAACATAGATAATCAAAAAACAAATTTCTACGCTAAACTGTTTGTAAATACTCTACTTCAGAACAGTCTAATACCTGTAATCAACAAACCAACGCGCGTAACACGCAATACTTCTTCAATTATTGATAACATTTTTACTTATGTTGCCATGACTTGCCAAATCAAAAATAGAACATTAAAAACTGATATTAGCGATTATATTCCGAATTTTCTTATAAATTACTCTTTAATTTCTGAATCTAAAAATTCCTTTGTAACATACGTAAAAAAAATAAACAACCAAATTTAACAGAAATTAATTGGAATCTTTTAACTGAGTGCAATGATGCATACAATCTGTTTAAACGTTTTTTTTTCTAAACAATAGGAAAGATCCTTTCAAAAAATTAAAAAAACAACTAATTCCATAAAAATAATATAATCCGTGGATGACAAATGGTCTTAGAAAACCATCCAGAAAAAAACAAAGGTTATATGAAAAATTGTTAAACAATAAAACTTATAACAATGAAATTAAATACAAAAAGTATAAAAATTGTTTTGAAAGAATAAAAAAGCAAATAAAAGAAAAAGTAATTATTCTAACCTCTTCGAACAATCAAAAGGAAATAGAAAAAAAGACATGGGAAGTAATTAAAGAAGTTACAGGGAAAATTACATATTACAAGCAATTACATAAAATTATTACAATTACAATTACAAGCAATTACATAAAAGCACTATTCCAAAGCTTAACTCGAACAGAGAAATATTTGATAAGAAAGAAATAGCTGAAAACTTCAACAAATTTTTTATAAACATAGGAAAAAAATTAGCAGCTGATATAACTCCTGGAAAAAAAACATTCCAATCCTATTTAAAAAAAAACTCACTATGTAATCGATGAGTCGGAACTGCCTCTAAATGAACTTCAGGCATCCTTTAATGCGCTTAAAATAAATAAAAGTGCCGGGTTTGACGATATTAATGCTAATGTTCTTAAAGCTGTTTTTGATGCTATTAAATTACTTCTTTTGTTTATCTTCAATCTTTCAATTACAACAACTACAATTATTTTTCCTGGTCAATTAAAAATAGCAAGAGTAATCCCCGTATACAAAAATGATGACGATTCTATACCATCTAACTACAGACCTATATCTATTCTTTCTTATTTTTCAAAATTGCTTGAGCGTATTATGTATAACAAACTGTATAGTTATCTTGAAAAATATAATATCTTATTTAGCAAACAGTTTGGTTTCCGGAAAGGACATTCAATACATCATGCAGTAACTGATTTAGCCAGTCAAATACTGGATGGGTTTGCTAAAAAAAGTTGTACACGCGGCTTGTTCATTGATTTGTCAAAAGCTTTTGACACTGTTGATCATAAAATTCTCTTGTACAAACTAGAAACATATGGAGTAACAAATAACTACTGAAAATGGCTACAAAGTAACAAATAACTACTTAAAATGGCCACAAAATAGAAAACAAGGAGTTTTTTATGATTCAACATGTATAAAGTTAGAAACAATAAGCTGCGGAGTTCCTCAAGGCTCTATTCTTGGACCCTTACTGTTTCTAATTTACGTAAATGATATCTGTCTATCTTCAAACATGCTTAATTTTGTTCTTTTTGCTGATGACACTAATCTTTTTTATATCCATTCAAATTTAAAATCAATTTTCTTTACAGTTAATCGTGAGCTGGAAAACCTTAATGACTTAATTAAATTAAACAAACTTTCTTTAAATATCAGTTAAAATAAATACATTTTATTCCATAACCAAGCAACTCCACACTTGTTGGCCGTATGGTTAGCATATAATCATATGTTTTTTCAAGGTGATCGCCTTTTGTGCTACCACTTTCAAATAACAACATTTCTTTTTTAACTTTAGAAGATATACTTCCTACCCTTATAGGTGATGTTCGTATTGTTGCCAATTTTTTTCCATAACTTCCTTTAATTGTTTGCTAATGGTTTTGACGTTATTATCACATTTATGGTTTGATAAAGCCTGGTTTAACTGAACATCGCTAGTCGAGTCTACTGTTGTTATTATATTTGCCGAATTTAAACGCTTTATCAGGTTTATGATAATTTTTTTATTTTGGGTACTTGTATTTGGAACAAAAACTTCTGGCATTTTTGATGACGTAAACTGGCCATTATGAAGATAATAAACTAAGCTGCTTAACGGTGTTCTCTTCTCTTTAATTCAGTCACTCAAAGCATGATATAATTGTTTTCCAATTTCAGATTGTTGCTGTTTTATTTTTGTCAACATGAACTCTAATGCAATATCAGCCGAAATTAAAGTTGCGTCTCGTTGACAAAGTGCTTCCACAGTTGCTTTAACAGGAGTCAAAAGTACTACTAAATCAGATATTATTATTTATTCATTTTCGTTCTTCTTAATTGAATCATCAATGTTGGAATCCAATTCTAAATCTAGAAATGCCTTTTTTAATACAATATTTCAACTTCTCAAATCGGTCTAGCATAAGCAACAAGCTGCTCCATCGGGTTTTGCAACCCATGATTAAATGAATGACATTTCCAAACTCAATTTTTACGTACTTTTGTAAATAATTTTCATTTTTGCTTGGAGATCTTTTAAACATTTTTATAATTTGATAATGAATTTTTTATAATTTGAAATAAAATAAAATTTTTATAATTTTATAAGTATTATACTATCATTATATATTAAGGCGGAGTGAAAATAACTTTTTAAAAAAAATTTTTATTCTCCTTGATTTCTATATTACTTATAAGAAAACTAAAAAAATGAGAGAAAAACATGAATTACAATTCCGGAAGCAATTTTTGGCCAAGTTAGGCAAATTTTCAGAGTTTGTCTTATAATCTATTATAAGAAGCAGCCGTTGCGCAGTGGTAGCGCACTTGCCTCAGAAACAAAGAATCGTGGTTCAAACCCCACCTCTAGGCAAGTTTTGCGACATCGGTTAGGAAGGAGCCGTGAACTTCCGATTAAATGCTCATCCGCTGTGCTCTGCAATAAGACCGTAATAATTTCTTGGGGCACCTAAATAAAATTTAAAATAAAGTGCGCCTTGGTGTAAAATATTGGCATTTATATTCTAGATTTTAGTTGTTTTAAGTACGTACGGCAAACATGGCGGCTGCAGAAGGTATGCTCTAGTTTTACGAACGTTCTCATCTATATCCATTTATTTAAACCTATTTTTAAATAATGGCAAACAAATTCTCCTTAAGTCAAATAATGGATTTATTAGAAATTTATGAAAATACAATAATAAAAATCTTTAATGATCTTATTCAAAAATTAGAAAGCAAACGAAAACAAAGAATTAAAACGCGAACTTAATGAGACAAATAAAACTATCGAGTTTGTAGTGAACAATACGAAATAAAAAAAGAATCATTAAATAATACTAAAAAAAATGCTCAGGGTCAACTAAATCAAAAATATTTAAACGAAGAAAATAAAGCACTAAAGAATAAAATTGCTGAGTTAAAAGACCGAAGCAGAAAAAATAACTTGCGATTTGAAGGTATTGAGAAACCGAAGGCGAAACATGGGAGAAAAATGAAGAATTGATTAAGAATCTACTGAGAGAAAAACTGGACTATACAAAACTTTACATATTGAAAGAGCGCATCTTGCTGGAAGAAAAGAACACAAAGAATATAAGCGTAGAAAGCGAGCTAACAACTAGTATTCGCAAACAAATTTTCCGACTAGCAAAAGAACTACGAGTATCAGGTAAATTTGCTAAAATTGTGTACAATAAATTATTCACTAAACAATCACCCTCCCTCCCCCCTATTTTGTTGATGTAATTAATGGGCAACCCCTAAAGAGAAAAAAAAAGTTATATTTTGGGTGACTTCAACTTGGGTTGTTTTAAGTATATATACTTATGATTTTATGTT